ATTGTACTTACTTGTCAAAACCTCTGTTGATTAACAGATGGATGGACAACGGGGTATACATTTCATGGGGATGCTGGTCGAGTGTTTGCAGAATTTTTTGGTGGAGATAACCCCTTTGCAGGTACATTGGTCTTTTTGGCTCACGCATTTGTTAATCAAAAACAAAACTAACCTAAATATGGCACACTTTGTCAGTTTTGAAAATTTTTCTCTGAGCTGTGAAATAGAAATGCTGAGGTTATCCCTTATCTGATTCCTGTTTCAGAATTGTTCGATTCCTACGATCCAGAAATAGGGTTTGGCGGGATACATGGTCGTGGTCGCCGCAAGCAGGATCCACCCATTGAGAGAGAACTGTACCTTACCCTAGAAGAAGTGTTTAAAGGTTGTGTGAAGAAAATGAAAATTTCAAGAAGGGTAAGAAATGGTGTAGTACTACGTACATTGAGGACATGTTCAATTTTATTCTTGCTTCATTTTTTATTCTTCTCTGTTTTTGTATGTTTAATGAATAAAATAGCAGTTGTTGCCGTTTCCTTTAAGCCGTAAAGTGGGGTTTATGCAAAAGATGTCTGAGGGCTTTGTGCAAAACAGGGCAGAAGATAAGCAGTAGGGATAGAAGCAGGATAGCAAAGGAAATGTTTTCCTTTCTTTCTTCCCCAACCCTTCTTCCTGCCTTTTTTTTTTTTTGCTTATTTCCTCGCTCTTCTTGTGCACTTCTCCCACATGGCTAAAAGGAAGCAGAAATGACTGCTACGTAGCCTGACAACAAATGAACCAGGTATTAGACCACTACTCTACTTCTCCGTCTACTCTGGCTTCTTAAAACTTCTGTGTATTTTCTTCACAACTGCAGGTGTGAAGTAAAATATGCAGCATATTCTCTGTTAATTAACAAAGTGAACTACACTGCTGAGATGCCAACCTCTGGAGATCTAAAATCTGGAGACTCTCTTTTTCACTACCCCTCGCCAAAAAATTGACCCAGCCCACAACAGGAATGGCTTAGGACATAGTATGAAGTCTCGCATGAATTGCATACTACCAAAGTTGGCGATCATTGTTTTAATGCCGAAATTATCTTTGTCAGTGACTAAATACGTGTAAAAATGCCCCAGAAACTGCACTACGAATAAAAAAAATGCAAATTTAGAGGCAAAAATGGGCTAAATCTCAAACTAAAGCACAGAAAAGCTCAAAAGATGATATTTTATCCAGGAGATTTAGCAACAGTGCACTGTAGGTCAAAGTTTTTTTTAGATGTCTAATATAAATGTAACCTTTGCTCTCTCTGTCAGGTAATGAATGAAGATGGACACACATCAAACATCAGGGACAAGATTTTGACCATTAATGTAAAGCAGGGATGGAGAGCTGGAACAAAAATAACTTTCCCCAAGGAGGGAGACCAGGGCCCCAACAATATTCCAGGTAACAAAGTCAGCTACCATACAGTAATGTAAGCCACATAGAGGACCCCTTTTGCAAGACTTTTGAGAGAAATGCCAATGGATTATGAAGTTCAGCCATTTTCCTATTGGTTTTTAAGGAAGGAGAACAAATAATTAATTTGTAGTTCAAAACCATGCTTGGTTATGTTGACCTGTTTTGGCTTTTGGCAAATTATTTTTAGTTTAATCTTTTTGTTTCTCTTTGCCATTTTTTTCCTTATGCTTGGCTTTCCAATAGGAACTACACAAGCATTACATATCTAATTTTCTGTTTTGTTTTTTTTTTCAGCTGACATTGTGTTTATTGTAAAAGACAAGCCTCACCCAATATTCAAGCGTGATGATGACAACCTCGTCTATACTGCCACTGTTCCTCTTGGAAAGGTAAATAAAGATCATGAATTAAAGCAATTACTGTGTTGACCACTCACTTTTTAACCCCCAAATTTATTTCCAGCTACATATACCACTCTCTCCCTATTAATTTTTGTTGAGATTGCAAGTGCAATGTTAGCTCAAATAATCCACTGGAAGTGGAGGGAAATGATTTTAAAGAAAAAAAGACTCAGTATAAGCAAATGAGGCCCAAACAGCTGGAGGTAGAGCTATCTTGTTACTCTAGACAAGAAACTGTGTTAGTCTCTCTCTACCCAGTTGAACATTAAAATGTCTACCGGCAACATGCTAATACCCCTAGGTGTTTCTGATACTGAAAAGCCCTCTTTCAAGTCCTCCCTGTATTGTATTTTAAGGGTTGCAGTTGCTGCCTGCAGTATGTAATGCTAGACAGTGCAAAGGGAGTTTTCTTTTCCAAAGAAACTATGCAGTGACATGGCTTAGAATGCAACATTCTAAAGTCAAATCCATCAACCAATATGGGACTTAAATGGGGTGAATAATTTTTTATTATTATTTCTGGTGAGCAGTTTAATGCAAGTCAATTATTATTGTTGTTGTACTAGGCACTCACTGGTTGTGTGGTAGATGTACCAACACTTGATGGCAGACTTATCAGCATTCCCATCAATGACATTGTCAAGTAAGTCAGAACGCATCCTAATCTTGCTGTTCCTGTGGTACAAAGGCACAAATTTTCGAGGTATTGGGGTGCCTGCCGATTAGCTGCCCCAACTCATTTTCTCAGGGGCATCTCGGCCAGGAAACTGGACTCCTTTTGACACGCTTTCGTTTCCGTAGGTGACGAACACGGATCCGTAATCAATGATTACCTCTAGTGCTTACAATGTAGATGTCCACAAACAACATAAGAAAATTAAGTTGATAAACTGTGCCAAGTTAAAGTGGTCAGGAGGTTTACAGTGAGTCAGACTACAAAAAATGAAAACTAGACCTTTTTGTGGAGCATTGTGCAGTAGCATATGTAGGGGAGGGACCCAGGCCTCAACCTAATTTATGGGCTAAAGTGCAGCGGGGCTAAAATACAGGTCACTTTTCCACACGTCAGAGTACAGGTCACCGTGATACAGATAAACAAACTGCATTAAAAGTGTCTCCTAGCCCTAATCTCCTAACAAAATGCTCTATTAGATCAAGTGGAATCTGTGTGGTTTGGTAATTTATCGATGGAGCAGTGACCTGTACTCTTGACCTGTAGAATGTGATCTGTACTTTAGACCGGGCAGCTAAAGTGATAAACACAGGGCTGAGAGAAAATAATATTTTTTTAGTTTGGGCCCTTGCTCCTCTTCTCTCAGGGTTGGCATGAAAGGGATTTTCACCTTCTTAAAGATCTAGATCTGCCATTGTTGTGTCAAGCAACAAGCTTTGAAAGAAAATGTTGCAGCTTCATAAGTTTGTCAGGAAAGACTATTATCATACCATTAAACTTTGATAACTTCACATTCCTTTTTCAGACCTGGATATCAAAAGATAGTTCCTGGTGAAGGAATGCCCATCTCCAAAAATCCTAATACAAAAGGAGATCTTATAATTCAGTTTAATATCGAGTTCCCAAACCAACTGAATCCAGAGCAGAAGAGAATGTTAAAAGAAGCACTGCTGCTTGAATCATAAGCTGCCTACACCACATTACCAGAAGAAAACAACTGCATCATGAACAATATTTATTATAAATAATGATATTTCCATTTATCAGCTAGTTGAAGTTTTCAAACTATTACATTTGTATTCCTCCATTTTGAAGTGGGAGGTGTATAATTAACAGTAGAATTTTTATATTTTGTACATAGATGAACATAAAATACAGGTATTGCCTCGGAAATAAACAGTGTGAAAAGTGAAAAAGTCTTGTTGCGCTTTCCAACTTCATAACCCACACATCTCGAGTCAAAACATGACAACGTGTTAATACTCTGTCACTGTTAGCAGCATAATGTTCTGTATCCAAGAGCTGGCTTTATATGTGCCTGAAAAGATTAAACAAAACAAACTGTCACATTTAAAACCACCTTGCTGGAAACCAGGTTATGTATGGATTTCAAATTAACAGAGCAAAGTCTGTGCCAGAAAAAGTGAAGGACACCTATTTTCTCACTTGTAGGCTACACGTTGTCCCTCATTTTTTCTGCAAAGGACCATGCAAGTATTGTGGTTCAATTTTGAGTTTTGGAGTTCAAAAGTGACACTGGGAGCCCTTTCACTTTCACCTCTCACTTCTTTTGCTTTTTTCCCCTTTCCCCTTTATTTCATTTGAAAGGCATTAATTAGAAAAAGAAGTATACAAGGGTAATGGAACAAGATTTTCACTGGAATACTGTAAAATTCCAAAAATAAGCCCCTCTAAATATAACCCCCCAAACTTGTAACACAAAAAACCTTCCGGGAAATCACCCCTCCGAATATAAGCCCCCCAGGGGCTTGTACTTTGAAATTGCCCTAAAATGCAAAACAAAACAAAGCAAAAACGGTAAATTTCCTTCCATCTATAAGCTAGCCCAATCGATTTTGAAACGCAAATTTCCCTCCGTACATAAGCCCCTCTGAATATAAGCCCCTCAAAAAGGACCTTTGAAAAATATAAGCCCCGGGACTTATTTTCGAAATTTTATGATAGGTCATTTCTGAGTGGCCACAAACTTCTGTTTCAAGGCAAGGCTCAGAGCAAAGCCACTCATATGAAATTAATTTTCACAACAAAGATTTTGCACTTGCCCTTGTTTTGAAAATGAGAGTTTTTGGAACTCAGAAATAGCATTACCTACCACCTTCCCTTTGGACTTAGTCTCAGATACCAAATGGGTCTTTCTTAATGAGGTCACCAGCATTTGAACTTCTACAAGAAACTCACAGAAAAGGGAGCCATTGGTCCTATAAAATGATTGTATCTTCTGATGGCTTCACGTATGTGTTGAGGTTGAATACAGTCACCACTGCTGTTTAAGAGATTTGCTGCAGTACCCTGAAATAAAACAACGTGCAAATTAAGTATAAATTAGATTTCTGTCTTGAGAAGTTCACTGAGGCCAGAAATCAGCCAAATTCCTTGAAAAGTACATGTTTGACTAAAGGTATCAGATACTGAATAGTCCAACAGACCAATTTCAATATATTAAAGTTCATCCTTGGCTCCCGAGGCTTGGGGTAATAAAACAAAAGAAATGTATTATTCATTTCTGAGCCTTAAGTTGATTTTTGTTTTATTCCCCCAAGCCCTGGAGCCTAGACTGTGTCACAGACATAAACTANCTCACAGAAAAGGGAGCCATTGGTCCTATAAAATGATTGTATCTTCTGATGGCTTCACGTATGTGTTGAGGTTGAATACAGTCACCACTGCTGTTTAAGAGATTTGCTGCAGTACCCTGAAATAAAACAACGTGCAAATTAAGTATAAATTAGATTTCTGTCTTGAGAAGTTCACTGAGGCCAGAAATCAGCCAAATTCCTTGAAAAGTACATGTTTGACTAAAGGTATCAGATACTGAATAGTCCAACAGACCAATTTCAATATATTAAAGTTCATCCTTGGCTCCCGAGGCTTGGGGTAATAAAACAAAAGAAATGTATTATTCATTTCTGAGCCTTAAGTTGATTTTTGTTTTATTCCCCCAAGCCCTGGAGCCTAGACTGTGTCACAGACATAAACTAACCCAGGGCCCAGTTGTTCGAAGGCCGATTAGTGCTTAACCCGGGGTTAAATTCAACCCAAGTTACTCTTTCTTTTGTTCAAAAGCATTTTCTAGGATAATTTTCTCTGTTCTATTTAGAGCTTTCAATCATCAACTTGTAGACAAAAAGAATTAAAACTGATAAACAGTTGGGACACGTAAATATATTTTAGCAACTACTATAATTTGCAGTCTGTCTACTTTGAGTTGAATGCTTTTTAAGCTTTCAAATCTGAATTCAAATCTCGCACTAACCCTGGGTTATCTTAACCCAGCTTTTAACATCTGCCAAACAGTGCTGAGATCCTTGTTCTGGGCCCCCAACAGACTCAACTAATTACTGGAAATGCATTTTGAATTTCCCTTCAACCTGATTGGCAATTCAACAATGGCTTTATTAACAGGCTAATCATCGCATGTACTCAAATCCTGGTACACAGGTGGGGACCCATAACAAGGATTTTGGTGCTGTTTTGCAGACCGACTAAACCAGAAGTTTATTTCCGTTTTTGACATAGGCTACTTGGACCCATGAATGAATTTTAATATATTGAAATTAGCCTATTGTGATATATATATATATATATTTAAAAAGCCATAGCATGTATACCAAGAGAACTGTATGTTTTGGACACCAGTTGGTATTCAAAAGTAAGTTCACGATTGGCTTTGCAATCAGCCATAAATCTTCATTCCTCTTTAAGCTAGAAAGAGAACTCTTGAAAGTCAAACAAATTTACCTTTAATTTCCTCTTCTTGTTCTTTTGTTTAGACACTGGATTCTGTGATGTAGCTGAAGTACTACCTGTCCCACCAGTGGTAGGGCTTGGTAGAAAAGGGGTAGTGGGCGTGGTGGGGGTACCAGGCGGAGTGTGGTTAGGGGTTGAGGGTGTAGATGTTACAGTAGCAGGTGTCGCAACTGAAGATTGACTCTCTGATAGGATGGAGACTGGTGGCATGACCTGTGTCATCATATCACCTCCTTCCAAATCTTTTTTCACCAACAAGGCCAAGTCAACAATCTGTTAAACCAGAAGCAAATTTCAAGTGAAAACTCTTGGAAATGAACAGATTACCTGTACATATGTATGTATCACACAAACTTGCCAAGACCCTTGGTCATGAAATATCTTTACAGTTAGCTTACATAGTAAAGTTATTATTAATACTATTGACCATTCCAGAAAATACCAGAACATACCATAATGCTCCTTGTTTGTCACTCCAAAATTTTGCATAAGCATTGTTTTCAGTTTAAAATTATCCCAAGAGAAACTGAAGACAATGCTTATGCAAAATTTTGGGGTTACAAACCAAGAGCATTATGGTATGTTCTGGTATTTTCTGGAGTGGTCAATTACTTATGACTTATAATTGAAAAGGTACTTTATGGTAATTTCCTATTAACTTTAAATTACATCACCTTGTGAACACAGAGGTATTTCTGGTTGTTGCTTGTCTCAGCCCACTGATGTTAATTTTTGCACTGAGACAAATGACAACCAGAACTACATCTTTGTTCACAGGTTAAATTCGTTTCCTTGTCAAAAATTATTTTCCAGGGTTTTCAATAGCATCTGAAATACAAATACTAAATGGTGTCAATGTTAAACAAACCAGAGAAAGAGCTTATGTACATGTTTCTATAGAGACGAGGACTCAATAGCATGACCAAGCAGAGAACACTTGGGTTTTCAAAAGCATTTGAGATACGTGTACTTAATTGTAAAATTGTAAAATTGTAAAATTGTAAAATTCTAAAGTGAAGAAGGCTTGACATTTTGTTGCATATTCACTAGATTTATGATGTGCTAATTAAAAAATAAATAGTCATGTGGGTAATTGTAAAGAACAACTCTCCTAAACCTACTGTCAGCCAACTGTTGGCTGACAGTTAACCAATACATTAGCGACACCTTACTGACAGTAACATCTGCAAGGAAATTAACGGTTAAAAATGAAACACTTAAGACACAATTCAACAGCATGCCTTGTTGTCATGTGTGAAAACTCGGTAGACTGTTAGCCAACAGTTGACTGACTGTCAGTCAACTGTTGTTCGTCCGTTGGTTTAGGGGAGTTGCTCTTCACAACTACCATCATGTGCCCACACCTGTCCAACTGTCTCATAAGCCAGGAAGCTAAAGACTTCCATAACTGGTGTGTTGGGTTTCATGTCGATAAGGGAAGCGCAGTCCAGCCACTCCTTGAACTTACCAGCTTTCTTATCTACAGGTATTAGAGAAAAGGTTATTTCTTTACTTGCTGAGTAAGGATACATAACAAGTGTAATATTATACAAGGTAGAAAAACAGTAGGACATGAAGCCCTTTAATACATGGTTAAACGACCCAAATCCAACCCCCCAAAAACATACATGTAAGAAAGATAAAAACTATGCAGCCAGAGGCCATAAGAAATAAAAATTTTGAAGAAAAAGAATATAAGGAAAAATTATATACATTTCACACATGTACTCAACAACATCACACTGCAAAAGGAGTAACCTTACGACATTTTGGGCAAACAACCTTATGAACTTATGTTGCCCTGGTCAAACACTGCTCTAAATCCTTTAGTTTGCCTTCGAAGATAATTAGAGAAGTACTACTACACTTACTGCTATTAGGTAAGGCATTCCAGATATTTACAAAAAGGAATAAAATACCTAAAATTAGACGTTTTTGAAATGTAGTTATGTGGTAAATAAAAAAACAGTTTTAGTAAAAAATGGAAAGTCAAATTTATAGGACTGAGGAAAATAATTATTGTTAGTCTAATTTGGAGATGGAATAATGAAGGCCGGCCTCAAGGATAGTAAGTATGTTCCTAAAGAATGCTCATGCTGTTGAGAACTAGTACATCTACCTTTTAATTTAGGAGGGTTTCATGAATCTTAGCCCCTGGATAATCAAGCCATGCAAAGTAGTAAATAGTATTCCTGGC